TTCTTGAAGTAGTGTTTTGTAGTTTTCTTTGTATAGGTCTTTCACATCCCTGGTTAGATTTATTCCTAACAATTTTATTTTTTTAAGGGCTATTATAAATAGTATTGTTTTCCTGATTTCCTTTTCATCGTTCTCCTTATTGGTGTATAGGAATTCAACTGATTTTTGTGTGTTTATCTTGTATCCTGCTACTCTGCTGAATCTTTATATCAGTTCCAGTAGTTTTCTCATGGAGTCTTTTGGGTTTTCTATGTATAGTACCATAACATCCACAAACAGGGACAGTTTAACTTCTTCATTACCCATTTGGATGCCCTTTATTTCTTTTTCTTGCCTTACTGCTCTAGCTAGGACTTCCAGCACAATGTTAAATAGGAGTGGTGATAAAGGGCATTCTTGTCTTGTTCCTGTTTTCAGGGGGAATGTTTCCAGCCTCTCTCCATTAAGAATGATGCTGGCCATTGGTTTGCCCTTTATTATGTTGAGAAATTTCCCTTCTATACCTATTTGGTTGAGAGTTTTTATCAGGAATGGGTGTTGGACTTTGTCGAATGCTTTTTCTGCGTCAGTTGAGATGATCATGTGATTCTTTTCTTTCCTTTTATTTAGGTGGTGGATTACATTGATTGATTTTCTAATGTTGAACCATCCTTGCGTATCTGGTATGAATCCTACTTGGTCATGGTGGTGTTTTTTTTTTTATGATGCTGAATTCTACTGGCAAGAATTTTGTTGAGAATTTTTGCATCTATATTCATGACAGATAATGGTCTGTAATTTTCTGTTTTTGTGGCGTCTGTGCCTGGTTTTGTTATCAGGGTTATGCTGGCTTCCTAGAATGAATTTGGAACTGTTGCTTCCTTTTCTTTTCTATGTTCTGAAATAGTTTGAGTAGTACTGGTATAAGCTCTTCTCTGAACGCTTGGTAGAATTCTCCAGTGAAGCCATCTGGGCCAGGTTTTTTTTTTGTTGGGAGTTTTTTTTTTATTACCTTTTTAATCTCTTCTCTTGTTATGGGTCTGTTCAGATTTTCAACATCACTTTGTGTTAGTCTGGGTAGGTAGTGTGTTTCTAGAAATTTATCCATTTCCTCTAGGTTTTCAAATTTGCTGGAGTATAGTTTTTCATAATACTTGGTTATGATCCTTTTTATTTCAGTTGGGTCTGTTGTAATGCCCCCATTCCATTTCTTAATTGGGTTATTTGCATCCTCTCCTGTTTTTCTTTTGTCAGTCTGGCCAGTGGTTTGTTGATTTTGTTGATCCTTTCAAAGAACCAACTTCTGATTTTGTTGGTTCTTTCTATTGGTTTTCTATTCTCTATTTCATTTATTTCTGCTCTTATCTTTATTATTTCCTTTCTTCTGGTGACTGTGGGCTTTTTTGCTGTTCTCTTCTATTTGTTTGAGTTGTGTAGTTAAGGTTGTGATTTTGTCCCTTTCTTCTTTTTTGATGGGTGTATCTATTGCTATAAATTGTCCTCTGAGGACTGCCTTTGCTGTGTCCCAAAGGTTTTGGTATGATGTGTTTTCATTCTTGTTTGATTCTAGGAATTTTTTGATTCCATCTCTGATTTCTTCTATTACCCAGTGGTTTGTAAGTAGGGTGTTATTCAGTTTCCATGTAATTGACTCTTTTTCCTTGCTCTTCCTGTTGTTAATTTCTACCTTGATGGCATTGTGGTCAGAGAAGATACTTTGTATTATCTCAACGTTTTGGATTTTGTTGAGGGTTGCTCTGTGGCCTAAGATGTGGTCTATTCTCAAGAATGTTCCATGTGCATTGGAAAAGAATGTGTACTCTGCAGCTGTTGGGTGAAGTGTTCTATATATGTCTCTGAGGTCAAGCTGGCTGATTAAAACCATAACTTTTAACTAGCAAGAAAAGCAAAAGTGAAATAAACAAGTATATAGAAACCAAAAATTATTAGTGGTTATCAGAGGTGGGAGGAAGGGCCAAGGGAGAAGTTGTTGCTTGGGGACAGTGAGTTTATGTTAATAGTGGTGAATAATTTGGTAAAGGATAGCGAAAATGCTTGCAAAACTTGAAGAATGTAATCAATGTCACTGAATTATACATGTAGAAATTGTTAAATTGGTGTATCTTTTGTCATATATATTTTTACCACAATTAAAAAGAAAAACTACTAAATCAATAACAAAAAGTTATTATGGCCAGAAGAACAAATACATAGATAACAATCTTAAAAAAAAAAAAAAGAAAAGCAAAAGTGAGCCTCACCCTCACGTGACCATACTGAACTTAATTGTATCTTAAGCTAGATTACACTTTTCAACATAAATTTACTTACTGAAAATTATCTCTGTCTTTTCAGTGCCTTGCATACAACAAAAAACCAAAAACCAAACTTGTTGCAGTCGAGTTGATTCCGACTCATAGTGACCCTATAGGACAGAGGAGAATTGCCCCATAGAGTTTCCAAGGAGTGGCTGGTGGATTCAAACTGCCAACTTTTTGGTTAGCAACCAAGCTCTTTAACCACTGTGCCACCAGGGCACAAGTGGCTCAATAAATATTAGGTCATTTTAACACATTTATTAACAATAAACATTTACTGAACATTTATGGGTAATTTTTGAAAATAAACAGAAAACCCAATCAAGACAGAAAGGCTTCTATAATGAACCACGGGTTAACAATGTATTAGATGATGGTTATATCCTTCTGTACACAATGGTGAGATTTAAAGCTCTGCCATGCAAATTACTGAAGCTCCCATGAATGGTTATCATAGCTTACAGATCTCAGAGATGAAAGAGGGAAAGATTTATACTGTGGCAGAGACTTCTATTTGCCTGCGAATATCCAAATCTGTCCTTCCTCTTCAGTAAGAAAGCCCAGTTTTATTCAGGGCAGCCATGCATTCAGCTATATTTCCCAACTCCCTTGTAGCTTAGGTGTAGCCAAGGCTGAGCGTTGATTCAGAAGTCTCCTTAATGGGGGAGATGCATATTTCTTTGTCTTTTCCTTGCTTCCTGGAACTTGGCTGTGATGGTTAGAGCTCTAGCAGCTATCATGGACTATGAGGATAAAAGCCACACCTTAGGAATAGCAGATCAAAGAACTGGAAGAAGTTTAGGTACCTGATGACTTTATGAAGCCAAAATATGTATCCTGGACTGCCACTCCTAGAATTATTTTTATGGGAAAATAAAATATTGTGTAATTAAGCCATCATTGTTAAGTCTCTGTTTTTGTTTTTGTTTTGTTTTGTTTTGCAACCAAATGCAATTTTTAACTGATAACTTACCTTCAGACTGGTAAAGAATATTTATCTCTTCTTTACAGATGAGACAACTGAGATCCAGAGAAGTTGGAGAACTCGCACAATGTCAGATTAGTGAAGAGATGGGTCTTGGTCCTAGCCCAATGTTTTTTCACTAAAAACTGACTCTTAAGCAGTCCCAGCTGTATAAAAATAAAATTTAAAATAAAAAACACGTTAAGTATAGATACAAATTTAGCCTTATTACAATAATGGTACATGATAGTGTATCATTTGTCACATACTGGGAAAAGAAAAAGTGCTAAATTTTTATGATGCAGATGGAGACTAAATTATATCATATTCCAATGGGGGGAGGGTAATAGCAAATAAATAGAATCAACAACCAGAGTAAACAGAGATATGATTTATTATACCTAAGTTTTACCGTATCCTTCCTTCCTTAAATAACTAAAAAAGGTTCAGTTTAAAAGCTTATTTTTTTCAGTAATGAAACTCACGATATAGGGTAAGTTTTCCTGTTAAATCCTTAAATGAACTTTTTCTTAAAAATCCTTAACTGGAATTCTTCTTTACTCTTACCACCACTTTTATAATTAATCTTGGCCCTAGCTTCAGTGACAGAGATCAGTAATAAGAAGCATCCCAAACTCTTTTTTGAAACCCCACAACCTAACTGTAAAATACAAGGCATTTAGCGCAAGTATAAACTAATTGGAGAACATATCAATTATTTCTAAGCAATCTGGAAAGAAAATAAGCAAATAAAATGTCTTCAAATTTTAACAATACATATTTCTTTATATGTTACATTTAACATCAAGTCATCTGTGGGAAAGAGTGATCATATATATGTTGTACATTAGAAAGGTCTATGACTATTATTCACACAACATGGTAAAAAAATAAATAAACAGCAGATTGAATCCTAACCTCCCCATTTACTGGCAAGTTACTCTGCCTCTTTGATTTTCCTGCTTATAAAATTGAGCTAATACTACTTCATATATTTGTTGACATGATGAAAATAAGAATGAATGCAAAGTGACTAACACAATGCATGTCAATAATAAACTCTCAGTAAATATTAATGCCCTTTCCTTCTTGCCCTATAATGAAAATCCGTTCTGCAAAACACCCAAAGTTATAGAATTTAAGAAGCAAGAAACCAGTTTAAATGTCATTTTTTGAAAGGCCACATTAGAGCTCTCCTCTGAGCATTGCCACAGCCAAAGCCCTGATGCAGCAGGAGGCCAGAGGAAGGAATATGTCCAACACAAGCTCTTCCTCCCACCCATTCAAACAGAGCTATTGCAAGTGACCCAGGTTTCTTCCTCCAAGGCACTGCCTGAGCCAGGAGACCTGGGTTGCTTCTTCTCACTGCCAATGTCATACTCCTGACAGTAAAAAGGGGTAGGATAGAGAAAAATAAATGGCTTTTGAGTTCCTCGATGGCAACAGTGACAAGGACAACAGGTAAGCGGGTGCTTAGCTACATTTATCCCTTTAAAAATGAGAATCAGTGAGAAAGTGGGGATCAAAATAATCAGATGTATGACCAGGGAGTTGGACTCTAACCCTTGCCTGTATCAAGACCACCAGTATAGACTTTAGTATCTCTGATGCCCTTATCTGTAGAAAAGGACACCAATCAAGGAAATCATTATATTTCCTTTTGTTCCCATCTTAACAAGGGGTTACAGTATCTGGTAATAAACCAAAACCTAACTTGTTGCCCTCGAGTCAATTCTGATTCATAGCAACCCTATAGGACAGAGTAGAACTGCCCCATCGAGTTTCCAAGGAGCACCTGGTAGATTCGAACTGCTGACCTTTTGGTTAGCAGCCTGAGCTCTGAACCACTATACCACCAGGGCTCATGAAAAACAGACACTGTTGCTTATCTGTATCATTCATAAGCATATTTATTAAAATTACCATGTCTTCATTGTTTACATGTACTTCACATAAATAAAATACCAAAAAAAAAAGAATAGTTGCCATGAGTTGATTCTGACTCATGGCAATGCGATGTGATTCAAGGTACAATTGGGTTCCATAGGGTTTTCAATGGCTGTGATCTTTTAGAAGTAGACTGCCAGGACTTTCTTCTGAAGGACCTCTGTATGGAGTCAAACTGTCAATCTTTCTGTTAGTAGCCAAGAGCTTAACCATTTGCACCACCCAGGGACAACTAAGATATAACAAGTCAAGAAGCTCTGCCAAAAATAAAAGCATGTAACTGCTATCTCAATTTCCATAAAGTTGCTCTAGAATTTTAGAACCAGAGAATTCTGGGACCAGAAATTATCTTAGAGGTGATCTGATTTAGTGCCTACTTTTATAAAAGATTATTAAACACAAGGAAGTTAAGTGACTTGGCCAAGATTTGGCAGAGCCAGGTTTGAAACCTGGCCATCAAATTCTTAATTAAGTATATTTTCCACCATATCTTGTTTTTTTTTTTTTTTGGGGTGGGGGTTGTTTTTGTTTTTAATTGAGAAATCATTAAAGTTATTGAGGTTCTTTTTGAATAAATTATTTGAAATTGTTGTTAGTTGCTGTGGAGTCAATTTCGATTCTTGGCAACCCCGTGTATAGAGTAGAACTGCTCCACAGGGTTTTCAAGACTGAATTTTCAGAAGCAGATCACCAAACCTGTCCTCTGAGGCACCTCTGGGTGAGTGTGAAATTGTTAGCAACTTGTTTTTTCAAGTCTCTAAACTAATTACAAGTATCAAACATAAAAATATCCTAATATGTGTTTCAGGCCATGTCTTAGTCACCTAGTGCTGCTCCAACAGAAATACCACAAGTGGATGGCTTTAACAAAGAGAAGTTTATTTCCTCACAGTAAAGTAGGCTAAAAATCCAAATTCAGGGCATCAGCTCCAGGGAAAGGCTTTCTTTCTTTGTCGGCCTTCTTCTCTTCAGTGCTCCCCCAGACTAGGAGCTTCTCCGCGCAGGGAACCCGGGTCCAACGGACACACTCTGCTCCTGGCACTGCTTTCTTGGTAGTATGAGGTCCCCAATTCTCTGCTTGCTTCCCTTTCGTTTTATCTCTTGTAAAGTAAAAGACGGTGCAGGCCACACCCTAGGGAAACTCCCTTTACATTGGATCAGGGATATGACCTGGTTAAGAGTGGTGTTATAATTCCACCCTAATCCTCTTTAACATAAAATTACAATCACAAAACGGAGGCCAACCACACAATTCTGGGAGTCAGGGCCCAGCCAAATTGATACACACATTTTGGGGGGGACATAATTCAAACCATGACAGGCCACAACTAACAAATTTTCCCATTCCAGACCTTCAAGTGTTTAGAAAAAATTCATCAGCTATCACTGCAAATATAGTCAACTCAATTATTCATAATACTTAAGAGATTATCTACTTTAAGGATTATTTTCAATACATTTAAAAATCCTGGACTTGATTCCTCCAGCTACCCAGTACTTGAACTGTGCACACACTCTTGCCATCGAAAAGGTCCTTAGATAGTGGAAACCAATTTAGGTATTAGTCTAAGTAAAGCAAAATTAATTTGGTCTGTCTATGGAGATACACAGATCCCCAAACAAAAAGACACTGGTATCGATCATGGTACTGATACTCTATATTAGTGCCTTTAATAAATGACTAATTTTTGAAAGGTATCCTCATTGCCTTAATTGTACACTTCATTTCGGCTGAGATACATAGAGCACAAACCAACTTGGAAAAAGGCACCCTGAAAGGGTATATACCAAATGCGTGATATGATCTCCCAAAAGACCAGAGAAAGGTAAGCATAAGATGGACTGAGCCTTGGAAGATGGGTAAAATTAGGAGAGACGGAGGAAGGCAGCATGAGTAAGTAGGAGACAGGAATGAATTTTTGACTCATACTAGAAAGTTTGACCAGATCATGGAGGGGCTCAGGACCATGATGAAAAACATGTTTCCATATTCACCCTAATAATGACTGAAACTGCAAATTTTATTTGAGATTTCATTTCTAATTCTAAATTTACATAGTTTTATCTTAAAATTTTGACCCTATGAGCTGAGGAACATTCATTGAATACCTACTTCAGGTTTTATAAAACAAAAACTCGCACTCAGCTTAAATCAGGATGGATACTGAGACAATTTCTATAAAGGAAAAGACGGAAGAATCTGGATATAACCTGAATCTAATTATTTAACAGAATCTACCAAGGAAGCCCTTATGAAACAAATAATTAAAATAGGTTGTAAAAGAAGCTATGGGTTATCTGATCTATATCTATCACACCACTTGTCATACTGCTTTTAACCAATTCCTTAAAGCAACTGTCTAATCAGTTCTTTAAGGAGCCCTAGTGGCACAAAGGAGCCCTGGTGGTGCAGTGGTTAAGAGCCACAACTAGCTACAGCTGCTAGAATCCACCAGCTGCTCCCTGGAAACCCTTTGGGGGCAGTTCTACTCTGTCGGATGGGTCTCTATGAGTCGGAATCAACTTGACAGCAACTTCTTTTGTTTGTTTTGCTTTGTTTTTGTGGCACAATGGTCAAGTGTTGGGTTAGACTGCTAATTGAAAGGTTGGTGGTTTGAACTCACCCAGGAGCTCCATAGGAGAAAGACCTGACTATCTACTTCCGTAAAGATTACAGCCTAGAAAACCTTACTGCGCAGGTCTACTCTGTCACATGGGGTCACTATGAGTCGAAATCACCTCAACAGCACCTAGCAACAATCAGTTCTTTCAACTTTCCTGTAGGGAAAGTTCGCAATCTCCTTCAAGGAAAAGAGGCAAGAATCTGGATGCTACCTGAATCCAAATTATTTAACAGAATCCACCAGGAAAGGTCTTAAGGGAAAAATAATTTAAAAAAGAAGCTATAGGTCATCTGATCCAAACCTATCATACCACAAGTCATACTGCTTTAAACCAGTTCTTTAAAGCAACTATCTAATCAGTTCATCTCTAAACTAGTGGCGTAGTGATTAAGAGCTCGGCTACTAACCAAAAGGTCAACAGTTCGAATCCACGAGGCGCTCCTTGGAAACCCTATGGGGCAGTTCTGCTCTGTCCTAAATAGGGTCGCTATGAGTTGGAATGGACTCGATGGCAACGGGTTTGGGTTCTGGTATAGGGAAAGTCTACAATCTTCTTCAAACAAAATTCACTATCAGAGATTTTTCCATTTAACCTTTCTCCCTCCCTTTTTTATTTTATTTTTGTTACAAAGGTAACATATCATTTCGCGTTCATATTCATTAATGAATTTAATAGCCTCAGATGGTAACAGTTATTCGATTGTATAAAAAGTACATTATCCAATTCAGGAGTTCAGAGGACACTTTGAGAATTTCAAGAGGTTCTGTCTCCCGAAGTCAGAATAATGGTTCCTGTTCTCCCCCTCCCCATCCTCATATTGTAAAATAATTGCCATCCTAAGACCGTTGCCAGCACCAACCACAATAACCACATTTGCTCACCAAGCGACCACTTAGCAGGTGCAACAAGGAAGTAACACCCTTCTCATTCTTTAAAATCGAAAGGGCTAACCTAATAATTTGTCACCTAAGGGAAAACAATACCACAACTGGCACGAACTTTCTCCTCTCCTAGATGGTGTCAAGGGTTGCTGGCTTAACAGAACTGGCAAAAGAGCAACATTTACCGGCCTAGCTTTGCTCCGCGGCGCCGGGAGTAGTACCAGCCTAGAACTGGTGGGTACACCCTCCTCACCAGTAGGCACCTCCTTAGCCTATCTACCTGTCCCGGTGGCCAACGCCGAGCTGGACCCCTACCGGGGTCTCGATCTTGCATTCACCCCAACCTGCTCGCCGCCAAGAGCCCGCCTCCCTCATCGACCTCGAAGAAAGCTTGGGTACCCTGCAGGCAGCAAGAGGAGTGGAGAACAGGATCCCGTAGACGCCCCCTCCTCACCGGTGCCTGTCCACTCTGCGGCGCCAGCCATCCTCACGCTGCCTGAGCAGGGCGGGCGAAAACCTGAGCCTTATCTCAGGACCCGCCCCAGGCTTCCAGCCGTGCTGACCCGAACTCACCTCAAAGCCACCAGCCCCGCCTAGGCGCGCTTGCTGTATGCCCACAACACACTGGTCCGACTCTCCGCTCCCGGCCGGCGGCTTTGCTCGGTCCCTCCACCTACTGCGCGCTCCCGCCTCCTCGCTGCCATGGCGACAGCCCCCACCCCCCGACAGTCGTTGATTGGTCCGGCTCGGGATCGCGGAGGGCACCAATTGGCTGGGGTGGGTTCAAGGCCGCGCCAGCAAGGGCGGAGGCGGGCGGCGTGGAGCGCGAGCGCGAAGGAGTCTGGGGGAGACTGAGCCTAGAGGGACGTGGCTTTCTGCGACCCGGGCGCCGAAGCCGCGCCTCTTCCTTCCCTCGCTTTGCCGGAGGATCCTGTAGAGCAGGTCTTGGTCGGGTGAGGTGCTACCCCTGGACTGGGCCAAAACCCCAAAGATCTCCTCCTTTTTGGCCTCAGGCCTGCGCCGCCAGCGGCCAAACGAGTCAGAGACTGGCTGTCAGGCCCATTCTTGCCCCCAGGCCTGACTCTGGTCTGACACCCCCTAGTATCTTACTCGGTCACTGTGACCTGATAGTATTTACCTCTTCACCTCTCAGATCCATCTGCAAACATCTCTTTTCTGTACACCCTACCCCTGTAGAACTGAGACATCTATTCCAAATCCGTCATTTTAAAGTTGGGGAAACTAAGGCTTAAAGGTATACCTGGCTCGAGTGCTAAAGAAACTTTTGGAGCCTCGAGGTTACTTTCAAAGCTGTGTTTGCCAAGTAGTAGCACCTCTCTGAGCCTTTGTTAGCGAAGATTAGATGACATTCCAATAAAATATACAGAACCTGCTAAACAGTGGTTAGTAAGGGTACCTACTATTATCAGCAAGTAACAGTGTAGTAGCAAACTGCACCAACACGGAGCCAGACTGCCTCTGTTGGAAGAACCCAACTCTACCTACCGCTAAGGAATTCGTGGCTGAAGGCAAGTTACTTAAGCGCTCAGTCTCCTTGCCTATAAAATGGGGATACTAATAGTACCTTCTCCTTATTGTAGTTATTAGCTGCCATCAGGCCGGCTCTAACTCATGGCAACTCCAAGTACAACAGACCTAAACACTGCCCAGTTCTGTGCCATCTTCATGATCATTGGTGTGCTCGAGTCCACTGTTGGAGCCACTGTGTATTTTGAGTGCCTTTCCACCTAGGGGGCTCATCTTCCAGCACTATATCAGTATGCTGTTGTGATCCCTAGGGTTTTCATTTGCTGTTTTTTGGAAGTGGATTGCCAGGCCTTTCGTCGTAGTCTCTCTTAGTCTGGAAACTCCACTGAAATCTGTCCACCAAGGGTGACCCTGCTGATATCTGACATACTGATGGCATAGCTTCCAGCATTATAGCAACACGCAAGCCACCACAGTGTGACAGACAGATACACAGGTGTTGGACCTCCTCCTTGCAGCATAACAAATTAATAGGATAGTGGCTGGCACATAGTAAGCACTCAGTTTTAGCCTCTCAGGCTGCTAGGACTATAACTCAGGTCTCTGGATTCCAAAACCAGCTATCTTTATTCTTAAATACCTCTCACTCATAGACCAGTACCTCAAAGTTAAGCTCCTCTTTGAGGTTCAGAAGGGGACTGTAAAATTAGAGAAACAGTCGGTAAGACTGCTCTCACTTTTTGCAGCAATTGCAAGTTCAGGGGTTCCCAAGACTACCCTTAACCCTATAGGACAGAGAAGAAATCCATAGGATTTCCAAGGAGCAGCTGGTCGATTCGAACTGCTGACCTTTCGATTAGCAGCCAAGCTCTTAACGACTGCGCCGCCCTTCGGTTTGATAATTTGCTAGAAAGACTCACAGAACTCACTGAAAGTTGTTATATTCATGGTTACAGTTTATTACAGCTAAAGGATACAGATTAAAATCAGCCAAGGGAAGACTTGCATAGGACAGAGTTCAGGGAAGTTTCAAATGTAAAGCTTCCAGTTGCCCTCTCCCTGTGGAGTCATGGACAGTGTTACAATATGCATGTTACAGTACACATGGAGTATTGCCAACCAGGGAAGATCACCATAGCCTTGGTGTCCAGAGTTTTTATTAGGGCTCCATCACGTAGGCATGGTTGCTTGCTCATGTGGCTAATTGCAGTCTCCAGCCTCTTAGAGATCAAGCTGAGCTGATCCCTTGTGACCAAATCCCCCCCCCCCCAATCACATTGTTAGACTATCTGTTGTGGCCAATCTCTACTATAAAATCACTTTGTTAGACTACCAGCCACGACCCAACGCCCTCAGGTAAACAAAAACACTCAGGCATAACGTTCCAAGGGTTTAGAGATTATCTCCCAGAAACCAAGGGCAAAGGCCAAATCTCTCTTTGGGCAAGGTTATTTACTACACAGGGACATTTGTCCATTTTCTTTAACTGAAGATCTCAACCTATGTACCTTATCATGAAAGTCCAAGAATGTAGTGACTGTCTCCACTGAAGGGTTAATAACAGAAGCAAATGGAAGAGAAATAGTCATATTCAGTGCTGAAGGATAGATTGAAGGGTAAAGACACTAGAGAAAGGATATTCCGGAAACTACAGTGTTAAAAAAAAAAACCTGTTGCTGTCGAGTCAATTCTGACTCATGGTGACCCCATGTGTTAAAGAGAAGAGCTGCTCCATAGGGTTTTCTCGGCTGTAATCTTTACAGAAGCAGATCTTCAGGCCTTTCTTCTGCAGCACCACTGGGTGGGTTCAAACACCAACTTGAGGTTAGTAGTCGAGTGCAAACCATTTGTGCCACCCAGGGACCTTGTTATGGTGTTGTTGTTGTGTGCTGTTGAGTCATTTCCGACTCATAGCAACCCTAGATGACAGAGTAGAACTGTCCCATGGGGTTTCTGAGGCTGTAGTCTTTATCTGAGCACATTGCCAGGTCTTTTCTCCCATGGAGCAACTGATGGGTTCAAACCACTGACCTTTCGGCTAGCAGCTGAGTGCTTAACCATCGTGCCACCAGGGCCCCTTGGTGTTAGGGGCAATAAATTTCAATTTGAAAAATTTGAGAAATATTATTTACTGGGTATTGGTGTGTATATTGCTAGTAATCATTGTCAGTGTCAGATCAGGAAAACAATACTGCATCCAACACTGTAAAAATCACTGGACTGTAAGTATATTGAAGGCAGGAACTATCTTGCCCATTTTTATTACCCAATATTTAGCTCAGAGCCTAACACACAGTACCTGAGTTAGGCACTGAAATTTGGGATAGACCCTCTAAGGGTAAAGCCAGAGAGATGTGGTAAAAATTGATCTGGATTACTCATAGTAATTCAATAGAGATGAAGAAAACCTGGAAAATTAGAAGATTGGATTAATCCAACAATATAATAAAAGGAAAAGGGTAATGGACACTAGCTTGGTGACTGAAATGTTGGTATTTCAGTGTTCTAGGAGGAAGGAAAAAGATGACAAGGAAGACAGGACAAACAACAATATTAAACAGCAAGATGCAGCTTAACAAAAAGACAACCCAATCGAAAAATGGGCAAAGGACTTGAAGACATTTCAGCAAAGAAGATATACAAACGGCCAATAAGCACATGAAAAGATGCTCTGTGTCATTCCAAAATCCATTGCCGTCGAGTTGATTCCGACTCATAGCAATTCTATAGGACAGAGTAGAACTGCCCCATGGGATTTCCAAGGAGTGGCTAGTGGATTCGAACTGCCGACCTTTTGGCTAGCAGCCACGCTCTTAACCACTGTGCCACCAGGGCTCTGAAATAACCTGGGGATCTTGTTAAAATGAAGATCCTAACTCAGTAGCTATGATGGGGGACTGAGCTTCTGTATTTCTAACAATGCTGCTGGTACATGGATCAACTTGATTTTTTTTTATTTATCAGTTCTCTCTTGTCTTTTCTTCCTGCATTATCCATGTTAATTTCTGTGGTTTATCAGTAAAATCACTACCAAATTTTTGAATAAGTGACACCTGTTACCACCTCCAAGGGCAGAGTCCCAACACACTGAGGATAGCAAAGAGCATAATAGTGCCTCCCATCACAACCAGCAGCCCTAGGATGTCAACCCATTTCCGTCGTTTGCAGGTGTTGGGTTCTCCAAGAAAGACACAGCTCACACAGGCAATGGATGGAACAACACTTTTTTCACATAGAGAAGAGATAGAACAAGATCAGCTTCAATAGTGGATATCAGTTCCCCATGGCCAGCAGGTGTTGCTCTGCAACTGGTGTAGGAAGACTGTCTGCGTATACCCCTCTTGTGCTGCAGGTCAAGGACCCCATTCCCTCTCTGCCAGGAACATATATAACAGTGAGATTGGCCAGGTGCCAAATAACACACACACTTAGCTAAGCAGTTCCTGGAAACATTGACATGTGCTCAGGGCAAAAGGGGAAGGATGTGCTAATAATACACCACTCTCTGCTATAGAATGTGTTTTGAGTCAAAATACACCAGATAAGGAGTCAGCCCACATTTACATTGCCTCCAAGATACCACAGATACTAAATTTTCCATCATACCTTGCAACTCAGAGGATGGCAAAGGGGAATGCAGTAGTCAAGATTGGCTTAAATGAAACACAATCCCCTGGGTCTGGGCTCATTGCTACCCCTACACCAAGTGTTAGATTCTATTAGCAAGAAGGAAGAGAGTCTAGCAGTTAGCTAGGCAATAGTGTCTGCCACACCTTCTCACAATCGAATCCACAAACTCACATGGTTCTGTACGTGTTTCTCTTTCTTCCCTTCTCTAACAGCGAAAGACAGTCCTTTTAGCAGTTAGCTAGGCAATAGTGTCTGCCATGCCTTCTCACTATCGAGTCCACAAACTCACATGGTTCTGTACATGTTTCTTCCCTTCTCTAACAGCAAAAGACAGTCCTTTTACCTATATTCTGAATCCCATTACCCTTCTCAAGGACTTTATTTCTTAATTTGGCTATCCTCTTTCTTTCCTATATCATTAATCTTTCCCTAGCTATAGAATCACACTGTAGGAATACAAACATGTTCTAGGAGTGTCTTCCATTTTTAAAATACCTTTCTTATGGATAAATAAAAGATGTGATGAAGCAAGTATAGTAAAATTTTAATTATAGAATTGAGTGTA